TCCCGGACCCCTTCAGTCCAACCATTATTCCAGAACCTGGAGATCCTATGTCGTGAGCACCCGGGCTGACCACTGCCCCTATAGTTTCATAATGGCATTTATAATAGTATTTTTAAATTAGTTTGATGGCCTACCCATTGGGATAGAAGTCCACGTGCCCTATGGCCTGTGACATACCAGCCCCCCATTCGAAAAGACCTTTTGTCCGACTTTCAGTGTGAATGATATCAACAAAATTGGCGTCACTTCGGGACAGTCGTCTCGATTGAGGCAAATGTCTGTTTAATGTATTACAATATTTATTTATTTAAAAATTAAAAATAATTTTCTGTTATCAACTTTGATTATAATTTAGACATTTGTTTATAATTATACAGCTAGTTACAGATATTTTATCAATTAGTGCTTTTATCAATTGGCCTACTGTCTCACAAAAACTTAATTAAACTAGTTAATTAAATTAATTAAAATAAATACATACTCAAAATAAGGCCTTGCTGGTTCCATGCCCGATATTCTACCTAGTTTACATGTAACATTAAAATTCTGTAATTGTTTCCCCAATAAACCGGCTAAATGTGCGCCCAAACTATAGCCAATCAAATGATAATTGTTGCATGGTACTTGCAAATGACTCTATTAAAAATAATTTTAAAACATTAAAAACAAGTTTAAAAAATTTTAATATGAATAATTATTATACCTGTAAGTGTGTCATAAATATAGACAGTTGTGTCACTACTACCCGCATATTTTCAATAGCCTGATGATATGGTAGCCCTTAAATTGTATTTTTATTTGTATTTTTGAAAATAATTTATCAAATGTACAACTAAAATAATAAAACCTACCGTTCCCACCAGACCAGTCCACAACAAATACAATATAATCTCCATTAATAAGTAACTCATTCTTCAATCTATTAATCCATTGCTGTTCCGACGGATTGTCTTTAAATCCAGTGATAATAAACTTAATGTCTTTGCGTTCACCGGATGTCTGGTTCAGAAATGGTGTCAAATCTTTTCCTACAATCCATTGGTTGACAATAACTACCCGTCCGTCGGGTTGGGATCTCTCATAGAGAATGAGTTTTGTATTAATCCTTTGCGGCGATTGTGGCAACAAAATGGTTGGCCTAAAGATCGGGTGCTTATAGTTATCGGTGCGGTTAAAACAACCCAACTCTCCATAACATACACCAGAATATTCTTGACTTTTCACAACATTTAAGCAAAAATTAATGTTAATAATAATCGTTAAGAAAATTTTAATTAAATTATAATTAATATGCAGTTTCATATTGATTATAATTATGATTGACGTTTAGTGTCTTAGAAATTAATAAATAAATATATTGCAAACAATGTTAATCAGTATATTGTTAATAATTTGCATTTAAAAATTGTTTGAATAGTAATATAATATTTAATTTCTATGAAATGAGCGCTTATACTAAGAATGCACTAAAACTTTTCGACATAAATATAATTCATATCTATATTTAATTTAATAATCAATATTGGTACTACAGAACTGATATATACTGTTATGTATAGTATTAGTAAATAGGTTTCAAATTAATATCTGTGTATATTTAAATGTGATTAAAAATAAATTTATATTAGTATACAGTGTAGTAAATTTAATAATCATTAAAAGTTGTCAATAAACACTTAGTGTTTAGATTAATAGAAAGATTTACTGATTTTAATAGAAATGTGTTAAATAAATAAATTAATTGATAAATAAAATAGTTCCGGCAACTTTAAATTTAATATACCAAAGAGAATTAAGTTATAAATACTTTGATTTTTACTTATTACCAAATTATTTGTTATCAAAAATTAAATGTTTACGACTTTTGACATGATATAATAATACAATGTATAAAGTGCACCTGGTTACTTACAAGTGCAATTGTCATATAAATAAACGAGTTTAAGTAAATATTATTGTACTTTATTTAGTAGTTAGTAGTAATTTATTAATGAATTACTAGTGATAGAAAATGATATATAAATAATATACAGGTAATTTAGGATATATACGATTTAATAATAAAAGCATATTCATGTATTTATAATCATTATGAATAATATTTATATAATATTAATTTATTAATAGTCTGTATCTCATAATCTTCTATCATTAATGTTTTAATTCTTAGACAACTTTTGATATGTTTTAAATAAAATATATATATCAAGGAGAGGGAACACAATTTTATCACTGCATGACCTTTCTTAAAAAGTTCACAAATCTATAGTGGGTGGGGGTTAACTTAATTATGTAACATTATTAATGAGTGGACATAGATTTCAACACTTTTTAATAAATTGAGTGTTTAATGCAAGTCATAGTTACGGCCATTTACATCCCATTCCCTTTAGGCTACTGTTCCCCAAATTATAAGTAGTTTTGTGTTGTGTATATACTGAGTGAACCATCCCATTTCCAAGAAAGGTCATGCAGTGATAAATCTGTGTTCCCTCTCCTTGATATATATGAATGCCAGAGACTCGAAGTGACTCATCTCTGAATAGACTTACATTACTTATAATTAATTGTATTAAGGCTTTAATAAATATTAATATAATATACTATTATAGTGAAATAATGTAGAATATTTTATTTTAAAACATTTTTGACATATTTTATTATTATATTATAAGAAATATAGTATAAATTGTTCAAATATTAAGTTTGCTTTAATAAAAAGTTTTTTAAAATTATGTCACATACCATTGTCCAGTCCATTAAAGCATTAGCCTATTAATTATAAGAAATGTAAGTCTATTCAGAGATGAGTCATCTCGAGTCGCTGGCATTCATATTATTAATAGTGAATACATACTTGTAGCTATATCTTATTAACTCTACCATATCTAATAATGAAAATAACTATTATTAATAAATTGCCTTAATACTGAATAAATAGTTTGCCTTTAAGGTAACCCATAATTAGCATTACCAATTAAATACTAAATATTAAATTTTAAATTAGCTAATGCCTGCAATTGTAAAAATTGCACACTGGTCATCAATGGTGGTACGTTCACGAATACTGTTACGATTAACAATGGCAATGCAACACAATCATGCGACATAAATTGCTGTAACAATTACACACAAATCATCAATGGTGGTACTGTTACCAATACTGTTACGATTAACAATGGCAATTGTAGTAACAGGACATGCCAATGCTGTACTAATTATACACTAATCAACCGTGGTGGTAATGTCACCAATACTGTTACGAATAGCAATGGCTCCCCAAATTGCTGTAATAAGTTCACATTAATCACCTATGGTGGTATTGTTACCAATACTGTTACGTATCAATAACAATGCCAAATGAATTAACACTGCGCAGGCATTACCCACTTTACGATCAGGGTCACTTCCGAATTAATAAACAATATATAATTTTAAATAATAAATTTTAAGGAGTTATCATTCTAATAGTTTGTCAATATAATTAAATATTTTTTAAATTAAACTTATTTAATTTATATAGCATAGTTTTAAATCTAGCGATGTAATCATTGATAACTCTGCTAATAACTTGCTACATAATTACATATTATTTAAAAAGCAAGTTAAAACTACAAAATCTTATAATTATAGATATTTTACGGAATACTAAGAATATTTTCAAAATCCGTAGAATTCTTAAAGAATTTAATAATATTTATGCTGAAATTACTGAATATAATAGAAATTATTATTCAAATCATCTGGGTACTATTTGGATTTTATTGTCTTATTGTAACATTTAATTCATATTTATTTGCGTTCAGTAAAATACAATTAATTGTCCGGATCATGTTGCTTTTATTTAGTTTAGAATTTACCTCCTTATTAGTTTTTATTATCCATATATCAGGGTCTATTTATGTTGAGGCTAATAGTTCACATGTTTTATTAAACTCGTTAATTCATTTAAAGTATAGAAATATTGGCACAGTTGTTAAAATTAAGGTATTTATTTATAATGTAAATATTATAATAAGCTCGCTTAAATAATTTTATTTTTTAACATTAGTTATTAAATTCAATTGAAAGGGTGCTCAAAAAATGTGTGGGATTTTATTGTTTCGAGTTATTTATTATAAATAATTTTCGCGGAATTGAGGTATTAAAATTATTTATCATTGTTATTTACTAATTATTGTGACTAGGTTGCTATGATGATCATGGTAGGGTTCATAAAAGTTTATTAAATTTCTCATTAATATAAAATTGTTATTTATTAAAAAATATATCAAATTAGATTAACTAAAAATAAATTTATTGTTAATAATAAATGTTAATAATATAATAAAATAATTAATTTGTAAAAATATAGAAAATTAATTTTAAAAGTTGGTATTAAATTCATATTTGTGAAAAATTGATAAATTGAACTTGAATAAATTTTTTATTATATGGGTTGGACTTAATTTATTAAAAAGAATGATATCATTCGCATCTAGTTAATGCAATCTTTTAACAATTAAAATATAATTTATAAAAATGTCCAGTAATAGAGATAATGAAATAAACGCAAAGGCCATAGGAAAAGGTCAGCTTAGAGGTCATGGGTCAAAATGGTCAAGTGCATCTGAATGAGCAATAAATGAAGTTTCATTTACCACCATATTTTCTAAAAATTTAATTGCTAATAGTGGCTGTGCGACACAAAATGTAGGATATGTTTTGCCATGGATGTCATTAAATTCCCATTGAAATATATGATGTGTAATCATTTACAAAAATCTAAACGGTTGAGTACGTGATCGCAAGTTTTTTTTAATGATTCGCTATGTAAGTTTAGATCAGAAAATTATCAATCGTTGAAAGTATGTAATCCTGAGCATAATTAGGCACAGACAACTATATTTTATAATGGAATTTAATTGTGGAACTTATTATCACTAACTCTTCGTAATTATAAAGAGAAACTTTTAAATCTCATGTTTCAAATTTTAAATATTTAATAACATTTTAATAGTATTTTATAAATATAGAGAATTTGTTAAGAAAATCATTTGTAAGATTCCATTCGTTTCATTAGTTCCATTAGTTCCTTTTGTTCAGCAATTATACTTTGGTAGTATTTTCTGGCTTCCATTGGTTCCATTGGTTCCATTCGTTCCATTAGTACCATTTGTACAGCAAATATAGTTTCGTAGCATTTTCTGGCTTCCATTGGTTCCATTCGTTCCATTAGTTCCTTTTGTATAGCAATTATACTTTCGTAGTATTTTCTGGCTTCCATTGGTTCCATTCGTTCCATTCGTTCCATTAGTTCCTTTTGTACTGCAATTATACTTTTGTAGCAATTTCTGGCTTCCATTGGTTCCACTTGTTCCATTCGTTTCATTTCTGTAACAATTTTTCTTTCGCAGTATTCTAAGTCTTCCATATTTCTAGCCCTATCGAGTAAAGTTTTTGAGTATTTTATTTGTTCCGTATAGTTTGCCTCATGTAGTAAAGTTATATCAGGTGACGGAGTTTCGGGTAACGTAATTTTGTGTTCTGCTATAATCTCATTCCAACATTCCGCGATAATACCTGGAACATATTTAGGTATTTCTGTAGTCGAGCTCATTGAAACGCACGCTGATACAATTGCGCGTTGAACCTCTTTATCGTTAACACCACAATTAATTAGGTAGGTGAATTTGGGATTTTTCCATAACTCAAGCCAGTTTGATTCATTAAATTTGTTACAAGTAAATAAGTCTAGCAAATTTGCAATGTCATCCATATCGTTTAAATCATATAACATATCCAGTTTTGTGTGAATGTCAGAAAGTCGACTATCGTAAGCAAATTTTGCCAATAATGTTACAAGGTGATATGATCGACGGTTCAATTGATAATCCATAATTTTGCCAATAGTATCAGGATCGCACTCGGTTATTTTATCAATATATTGTGGTAAGATCTCGTACACGTCCATCGAATCAGATTTATTATCTCTATCCGTGATATGTTTTAATAATGTTATCATTGCCAATATATGCAAATACGTTTCTTTGAATTCAGGGTTCATGGTGAATTTCTCAAGTATTTCAGCAATACCATTATATTTATGTTTACTATCGCTACAAGTCCACTTTATAATGTCCGTATGTAAACTATCCAGACATGATGAATCATTTAATATTTTGCCAATTTCATTATCAACTTGAGTTGAATCATACTCATTAGCTTCTTGGTACATTTTGATAGATAATCTAGCCGACTCTACTTTAGCCAATAATGGGTTCCTTAACATCAACCACTCTTCCAATTCGGTACACAATGATCGCCATTTTTCTAGCTTAATATTTGCCCCGAACATTTTGGTTGCCACACTCCAGCCATGTCGTTTCATTAAATTTTCTAAATCTGGAAACGCGGTAATTACATTACTTGCCACTGTTGAAATTATATCTCTATTATTTTGTTTAATAGCACCCCTGGTCAGTTCGAGTATGTCAATAAGACATGGATCAGGTTTATTGTCAAATGTTGGCACTTCTAAACTAACCGAGTCCAATTTGTGCTTTCGTATTTTCTGAATGAGTTTAATAACTTCGACCGCTAAACGAGCTTTATCAGGGTAAAATGATTTTATAATCGAAGTTTGCGGCGATAATAACGTTAAATCGGGATTTTGTTTGTCTGTAGCCAGCGAAAATTGGCGTATTAAAATAAGCATGTCAAAATTATCAAAACATAATGCTTCGAGTTTTGCTTTTCTAAATACAAACAATAGTGGCGCTGAATACATATTAGTTAAGCCCAAGCTACCGGCAATCCAATCACTATCCAGGTCATCAAATTCCATCATAACAATTTTTAATTTTTCAACCGCTTCCATTGCTGTGTCAATGGCATCTAAACAAACATAAAATTTCCATTTTGTATTACTCAGCGAGGTTAAAAGTTGTATTGTGTGAGGTGGTGATCGCGTAAATATTATCGTGTTAGGCAGTTTTAACGTTTCAATAACTGTATTCATCTCGGTTAGATTAGTTTTGTCGAGTGGCAAATTAATTTCCGAAAGTGAGGCATTTAATGCGTGAAAGTAACATTCAGAATCTGAGTTTATACCAACTATGGCGCATATACAGCCTAGTACAAACGGAATATTGTTTGGCTCGTGAGTTACTGTATCACCTTCGACCTTTATTATCATCGAGAATCCATCTGATATACTTGGTAATGCTAACCCAATTTGAATATCAAGATCTTTTAATGTGTTGCTTATTTTAAACAAACGCGTGAATACTCCATCTGGAGCTATTCCGGATGTGTTTAAAAATATTTTAATTTTTGATTCCGTACTAAGCCATTGTTTTAAAGAGGTCATATTTGCGAACCTGATGATTCCAGCATTCATATCAATGGCATCTTTATCGTGAATACCACTTAACTCAGTAACACCTTGCGATACAAAATAGGCAACTTTAGCATCCACGTCTACCACGCTAAAGTTGGAATTTGCATAATCGTTAACAATGTCAAGAAGTTCGTCCACGGTACATTTGGCTCGTTTAAACGCATCAAGAGCAGTGAAACTACGTTTAAAGAATTTGTCCGATGTTTGTTTTAGCAGTTTTTCATAGGCCATTACTTCAACCGTTAGAGGAGATTCTAGGTCGTCTAATATTACGCACAAGCGATTATTCTTGGCAATCACCTTGCTCTTAATATAGCCAACAAGACGAAAATCTTGGAGGGCTGTGAGCATGTCGGTAAAATTTTCCATTACGTCGTCCTTCATTTTAACGTATAACCTTTCAACTTGCACATCTAAAAACTGATTAATCGGTACGAGCACGTACCGTATCGGAATGCCCTGTATCTCGGAGCTGACCATTCGGAAATGTTTCTCTTTCGATATGCACTTATCAATGCTCTCGACCATTTCAAACATTTCTTTCACGGTAGATGGCTGATTGCGCATGGGCGGTTTCGAATGTATAGTGATTCGTTTTTCGAAATTACTGGCCTTGGTGGAATCCAAAAAGTCGAGTTGCGCTTTAAGCTCGGCATTAATGGGTCCATACGTCATTTTGCCGACTATATTACCATGCACGTGATCGGTGTAGTCTGAACTCGTTTGCTTGATCGACAATTCCGCGTTTACCTCACCACCAAGTACTACACCGCGTACCACGTGGGTGGCGGAAATTTTACCCTTCATCAATTGTTCGGTCACATGCTGATCCATGACTTCTTTGGCAGCCGGTAATAGTTCGACGCTGTACATCTCTACATTGTACTATAATGAGAAAGATAAATTTATTATTTCAAACAATATAAAAGTAATCTATATATAATAAGCCGGGAAAGGCACTGACTTTTTGGCACATCGGGCCCATCGAGCCCATCAGACACA